CACAAAAAGGTGAGCTAACCTTGGCATTAAGGTTTGACATAACACATTAAAACAATATATTTTAGTTTGTCATAGTTTGTGTTCAACCCATCCTGTCTCTACGACAGCCAATCATAAGAGAGTTGCTTAAAAACAGGAGGGCCAGTGTCAGATAAGCAAGTGATAAGTGCAGGAACACTTCCGGGATCGCGATCCCTCTCGCAACCCAAAACGTCCGGGAGCATGAACATAAATAAACACACACGGAGAAACGGGAACAACCAAAGCACTACACACACAAAATAAACGTAAATCAGTGATTCCTGAGATTAGGGACAAAACAGGTTTTAATTTTCTAAAATATATTTTTTGATTTTTCAAAAACATATTTACATATAATTGTTACACAAAGTTTTGGCTGTCTCACCATGTTTTGGCACAATCTCCCAGGTGTAGCATTTTTTTAATAATTTATGTTTTTGCTGGAGAAGTGCAAGGTTTTTGTCAACACCGTCAGACACAAAGAAATGCAAAAATATATATTTTAAATTAAGTTGTTTCAGCTATTTTGACTATTAGCAGCTTCTCTATTCTATTGTTTATGCACATATGTTTTCAAAGTAATTATACCACATTTAAAAGTAAGATTGTTTTGGCTTTTTATTATTAGAGTTACAGTCATACATATTTTCAGAAGCTTGTATTTAAGCTAAGAAACAATCATATTAATGTATCATGATGTAGATGTGTTCGCTTCATCAATCAGTGACCTCCAGCTTCCACTGGTGGGTTTGGCATCAAAGTGTTGGGGGGTTAGTATCAAATGTGTGGTAGCTGGGATGGGAATTAGCTGCTCCTTCATGAGTAAGGGAAAGAGAAGACAGGAGATGGGAGTGGTGACAGTGGTGGGAAGAAGCTTCTTGAAGAGTGTCTGGTTTGCATGATCTCTCGCTGCTCAACAACATGCAGGATAAGGGAAGAGCTTGAAGAGTGCTATAATATGAACATCTCTACCAACCTACCTGCTGTGGTGAGCCTTTGTGGCCAAGGAGCAGCCGGTAGCTGCTAATAAAATAAAATGTAGAACCTTTTTTTTTATATCAAATTTTTACGTGTTTATTTTTCTGCAGAAGCCGTTTGTCCAAGCCCAGGGACCCAGAACTCGAAGTAACGCCAAAGCTGATAACACAAAGGCCAAAGTGTGTTTAATGCAGAACAGCGACGGTGAGCAAAGACTGGGCGAAGGCTTCAGTAACAGAGGCCGTCAATCTCAAAGGCAGAAACATCTGAAGAAGAAGGATGGACAGAAAGATCCATATCAGCACAAGGAGGGACGGAGAGGGAGATTTTCCCGTGGACGAGGAAGACCGATGTTTGGAAGAGGCGGGAGAGGACATGAAAATGACATGATGGTAAGCAAGACTCCAGGATGGCTTTAATTACAAACGCCATCCACCATCAGCCGGTTAGAGCTGCAGCAGCTTGAGTTTATGATGGATTGGCTCGCCAGTTCATGTCACGCCATCAGTACAAACAGATACTTGGATCTTTCGGCGTTAGTTGGAATATTTATTGAAGCGGACACATTAATTCAAGTAATCCTTCAGTGGAATCAAATGTAACTTGTGTCTCCTTTCTTTTAGGACTTTCAAGTGAAGCCGAGGTTCATGACTCAGGAGTTCAAGGACCAGAATGCGCTGCTGGTGGACGGGCGGTTACTTTGTCGACATTTTCTTTACGGACGATGCCTAAAGGCAGGTTGCATCACAGCTGATTATTTAACTTTACCCGAATCTCTTTTTTCAGACTGCGAAAATGAAAAATGTGCTTTCTTTCCTTTCCTGGATACAGGCTGAGAGTTGCCAGCTGGAGCATATTCAGGGTTACAACGATCTCATCAAAGAAATCTGTAAATTTTACATCCAAGGCTTCTGCACAAAAGGGGAGAGCTGTCCGTACATGCACAATATCCTTTGATATACTGTTGTAAGCTGCCACAAACACATCTCGTTAACCGAATGAAAGCGGAGGTTGTTGGCTGTCTTGTATTTCCTATACCAAGCTGCACAGTCTTTTCCTTGC